CCAAACTTTGTCTCTCATACTTCAAACATAATGTCAGACAGGACCAGTCATTGAAGAAGGATATCCTGTTTGATAAGGTGGAGGGTCAGAAAAAAAGAGGAGGACCCCCCAGCAAGATGGATTGGCAGAGTGGCAGCATCAATGGGCTCAAACATGGCAACCTTGTGAGGTTAGCCCAGGATCAGGCAGCTTTTCGTTCTGTTGTGCCAAGGGTTGCACCGACTCGATGGCACCTAACAACAAGAAGTTCTTGTTAGGATTCCTTGTGTGGTAATGTAGGATCAGCACGGGACTGAGAACCTCAAGGTCAACAGTTCAGATCCACCATGTGCTTTCTGGAAATTTATAAAGGATCCTTGTGAGGGGGAACTGACCACACAGTACTTTAACAACAGCAACAGTACTTGCTCCGTATAACTTAAGGTAGTTACTCTGTACAATTTACATACTCTGATTTTATTAAATGATGTGTTAATAAGCTCCTGCTATTACATATATATTACCTATATGTACCTATTTATATATAGGCCCTGGTGGCACTCAGCTAGGAATTGAAAGATTGGCAGTTTGAACCCAACCAGCACCTTTATGGGACAAAAGACCTGGAAATCAACTGTCTTCTGGATTACAGCCAAGAAAATCCTGACACCGTTCTACTCTGTCACATGGGTTTGCTATAAGTTGAAATTGATTCACTGGCACCTGACAACGACTACTATATATATTCAGTTTTTGTTTAATACTTTGTTGTTGTTTTTGTTTTTTTCATCATAAATTTGATAATATGTTATTAGAGGCATACATATTAAGAATTAGTATGTTAATGTATTTGTTAGTTGTCAATGTGTCATTTCTGACTCATTGTCAACCCATGTATGCAGAGTAGAACTGCTAAATATGGTTTCAAGGGCAGGCCTATCTTCTGAGGTGCTTCTGAGTGGGTTTGAACTGCAGATCTTTCTGCTAGTAACTGAGCCCTTAAACACTTCCCCACTAACCAGCAGACTCTTAGTGACCCTGTATAGAGTTTTCCCAGGAGAAGCTGATGAGTTTGAACCACTGACCTTACTGTTAAACCTTGTGGTCCGTGCTTATCCTACAGTGCCACACCGGGACTTGATTGATTTTGGGTTAATCAAGTTTAAAAAATTATTCCATATTTTCCTCTATCACAAACTGTTGGTTATATATATTTATTTATTTACTAATCTTTATTTTTTTTTCTAAGTATATATGTGTGTGTGGTGCTGTGGGTTAATGCACCAGACTGCAAAGCCATTTGAACTGCAAGGTCAGTGGTACAAGCTCACCAGCTACTCCTTGGAAACACCCTATACAGGGTCACTATGAGTCAGAATTGACTCAATGGCACTTGTACAACAATATATATATATATATATA